CTAGCTACTGATGTTTACTCAGGACAAGAGCAATTTTCAGCAGCTTGGTCTTTGTGTTGTGAGTGTGCTCCCAGCGCTAAAACATTGCTGCATACATGCGGTGTGTGGTCATTAAAGCATAGCTTTTTGCTTTCGCGCAGTTGAGTTAATGGGGCGTAAAGAGTTAACCGTTTTTTTTCTTGCCAGTGGTCAATCTTCCTGTAGTCTGAGTTATTACCTGAAGGTTGAAGGCTTCCCTTGTCCCTCAATGGATTAGAAAGAAACAAAGATTTGTACAGTCTCCCTTTAGCGGCTAACAGTACATTATAGTAACAGTAATGTAGTGTCTCCCTCTATTGGCTAATAGTGTATATCAGAGGTAGGCAACCTTTTGAGCATAGAGTGCCGGCTACATAAAAATAAATGTCAATTTCACACTCTCAATTACGAAAAGGAATTTTTATAAAGTAAATGCTGTCAGCTACTTGAATAATAAGAAATGAACACACAGATCCAAATGCAGAGAGCATTGCCAAGGCTACTTTCATCAATTTCTTCACCTTCACACCTTGGTTCAGCCCAAATCCTGCACCTTCAGCTCTCACGTGTGCCCCAATGCATGCACCTTCACACCTCAGATCAGCCCCAATTTATGCTCCTTCACACTTCAAACCAGTCCCAATTTCTGCACCTTCACACCTCAGACCAGCCCCAATTTCTGCACCTTCACACCTCAGACCAGCCCCAATTTCTGCACCTTCACACCTCAGATCAGCCCCATTTTCTGCACCTTCACACCTCAGATCAGCCCCATTTTCTGCAAATTCACACCTCAGATCAGCCCCAATTTCTGCACCTTTACACCTCAGATTAGCCCCAATTTCTGCACATTTACACTTCAGACCAGGCCCAATTACTGCACATTCACACTTCAGAACAGGATCAAATTCCACACCATTTCTGCACTTTCAGATCTCAGATTAGGCCCAATTTCGCACCTTCAGATCTCAGGCCGGGCCCAATTTCTGCACCTTCAGAGCTCAAATGAGGCCCAGTGCATGCATCACACTTCAAATCAGGCCTAATTTTTGCACCTTCAGAACTCAGATCTGGCTCAAATTCCACACCTTCAGATCTTAGATCAGGCCCAATTTCTGCACCTTCAGATCTCAGATCAGACCCAATTTCTGCACCTTCAGATCCAATGAGACCCATTACATGCACCTTAACACTAGATCAATCCCCCATCCCTTCACCTTCACACCCTGAGGCCTGAGCCCCAGTGCATGGACCTTCACGCTTCAGATCAGGCCCAATTTCTGCACCTTCACACCTCAGGCCGGGCCCAATTTCTGCACCTTCAGAGCTCAAATGAGGCCCAGTGCATGCATCACACTTCAAATCAGGCCTAATTTTTGCACCTTCAGAACTCAGATCTGGCTCAAATTCCACACCTTCAGATCTTAGATCAGGCCCAATTTCTGCACCTTCAGATCTCAGATCAGACCCAATTTCTGCACCTTCAGATCCAATGAGACCCATTACATGCACCTTAACACTCTAGATCAATCCCCCATCCCTTCACCTTCACACCCCAGCTCACACCCAATTTTTACACCTTCAGGTCTCTTTTGAGCCACAGAACATGCTCATTCACACCTAATACCCAATACCCATAATACCCAAACACCATAATACCCAATTTCTTCAGATGTCATATGAACCCTAGTGCATACACCTTCACACCTAAGATAAGGCCCAATTTCTGCACCTTCAAACCTCAGAGTAGGCCCAGTTTCTGCACCTCCACACCTCAGATTAGACCCAATTTCCGCACCTTCAGATGTCAAACGAGCCATAATGAATACACCTTCACACCTCAGAGCCCAATTTTTGCACCTTTCAGATCTCATATGTGCCCCAATTTTTCACTTTCCCACTTAAGTTCAGGCCCAACCTATGCACCTTCACATCTCAGATCCGACCCAATTTTTTTGCAACTTCACAGGTTAGGTTTAATTTCCAGTTGTCAAATGAGCCATAATGAATACACCTTCAGATCTAAGATCAGGCCCAATGTTTGCACCTTCAGATCTCCCAGTTCATGCTCCTTCACACCTTAGATAAGGCACAGTTTATGCACCTTCACACCTCAGATCAAACCAAATTTCTGCACCTTCAAACCTCAGAGCTTTTTCCCCACCTCCACAACTCAGCTTAGGCCTAGTTTTTGCACCTTCAGATATCAAATGAGCCATAATAAATACACCTTCACACCTCAGATCAGGTCCAATTTCTGCACCTTCAGAACTCAGATCAGGCTCAAATTCCACACCTTCAGATCTCAGATCAGGCCCAACTTCTGCACCTTCAGATCTCAGATCAGATCCAATTTCTGAACCTTCAGATCCCATAAGACCCAGTGCATGCACCTTTACACTTCAGATCAGCCCCAATTTCTGCTCCTTCACACCTCAGATCAGGCCCAACTTCTGCACCTTCACCCCTCAGATCAAACCCAATTTCTGTACCTTTAGATCTTAGATCAGGCCCAATTTCTGTGCCTCCAGATCTCATATGAGCCTCACTGCATGTAACTTTACACCACAGATCAGGACCAATTTCTACATCTTCAAATCTTAGATCAGGCCCAATACCTCAGACCAATTTCTTCACCTTCAGGTCTCAAATGAGCCCCAAATTCTGCACCTTTAGACCTTAAATCAGTCCCAATGCATGTAGACCACGTGAAAAGTAGTGCACTGGATTGTGCAAAAACGCATTGCACCAAAACCACATGGTACTGCGTTTGCAATATGCATTTGGGGAGCCATTAACAATACATAGGCACCCACATGCAGACTGAAAGGGAGGCAGAATCGAATGCAATGCAGAAAATGCACACTGGATGCACCTTTTCCGCACTGCATTTTTGTATGAACCAGCCTTTTTTTAGTGTTTTCTAAAAGTAGTAGTTACCAGAGAAGATAAAAAGTAGTTACCAAACCCTCTTCTAAAGTAGTAGTTCCTTCTATTGGGAACTACTACTTTAAAACAAGTTTTGGTAACTACTACTTTGGAACTTCTATTGGTTCTAAGTAGTAGTTTCTGAACCTTGTTCTAAAGTAGTAGTTCCCAATAGCTATTCAAATAGTTGTGTCTCAAAACTAGAACAGATACAGCAGCTACCACAGGTCCTCTTTAATGCTGCTGCCGAAAAAGAGGAATGGCCCTCAGGGTGTGAGCAGGCAGGCTTACAGGAATGCTCAGGCTAAAAGAGTGCTGCTGTCCTGTAATTCCCTGTCCTAAGCCAGAGCAGGAAACCTGAGGTGTTACTCTCCTACAGTGCTTCAGGCTCAATGCGGCAGAGTGAGGTGGGTGGGAGCTGAAGTGGGGGGGTAGGAGCAGAAGTGGATAGGGGGGAACTGTAGCCAGCGGGAAGCATCCCTGTTTTTAGTGCAGTGGTTGGCAGCTAAAGTGGGGGGTGGGAACTGAGGCTGGTGGCAGCCATCTGCGCTAGCTTCTATGCATAGAACTGCTGCCACCAGCCGGTTTTGTTGTGTGGGAGATAGGCCTCTCAAGTTTCCCTTCGCCTACCACCATAAATGCGGCTGCGTGCCACCTCTGGCACGCGTGCCGAGGGTTGCCGACCCTTGGTGTATATAGTAAAACTGACCCAAAAACGTAGCTAGTTTGATACATTTTATTTAAAATGTACATAATATAACTTTTATTCCATTTGCCCGTTAGTGATACCTTTAATAAGAGATGAACTGCATTACAGGAATGGATCTTGACAAGCTTCAGAACATTTCCATTCTCAGGACACTTGTTAGCGTGAGATTCTTCACAGCATATACACATTTTATCGTCTGCCAGTCCTACCTGTAAAGACAAATCTGTAAGTCAAAGAGTTCCTTAAAAAATGTGAGCATAATCTACTCCTTGTTACAGTAAGCTGAAAAGGCATAAGGTAGAGAATCCTTGCCTTTCTTTTATTTTCAGTATATGAACACCACATATCTGCTGAAGACCTCCTTTTAAAAGGAATTTCCCAGATTAAAGTAAATTTGACCTCCTGCTTTTAAACTCTGCATGTAGCAAGCAACACGCTTTGGAGTAAATACATGAATTAAAATTTTATATGTTATAAAGTTACTGTCTCATTGTTAGCACAGAGAATATAATTCTCCACTTAAATGTACTGCTAATAAAAAGAAAATTGACATTTTTAACAGGACTTACAGTCCAATTTTGAAACTCTAGACTAGAATGCATTCATAAAGTATTCAGACCCCCTTCGCTTGTTCAATCTTGTTATGTTGCAGCCTGATGCTACAGTTGTTAAAATTAATATTTTTTTATTAAGGTCCAGTTCACACCCCAAAAAACGCACTCCGGATGCATTCTGGATACATTTTTGCTTACATTTCACACCACACTCTGTTCCGGTGCGGTTTTGATGCAGTTAGTGGAACTTTACTCAAAACAATTATACTACCAAAATTAATATGTGCTGTAAATTGATTCTAGCATTGCTTCTTTTTCTTCTTACTGGAGGCTGCCATTTTGTTGAAGCCCATGGTCCTGAGCACTGTTAACCGCTTACCTACAGGGCACTTATACCCCCTTCCTGCCCAGGCCAATTTCCAGCTCTCAGCGCTGTCACACTTTGAATGACAATTGCGCAGTCATGCAACACTGTACCCATATGAAATATTTTTAAAAACATTTGTGACAGATTGAGCTTTATTTTGGTGTTATTTAATCACCTCTGGGTTTTTTATTTTTTCTTAAACAAACCAAAAACCACTTAAAATTTTGGGAAAAAAAAAAACATTTTTTCTTAGTTTTTGTTATAACATTTTGTAAATAAGTGATTTTTCTCCTTCACTGATGTGCGCTAATGAGGCTGTAGTGATGGGCACTGATAAGATGCACTGATGGGCACTGATGAGGAGGCACTGGTAGGTGGCACTGATGGGCATTGACAGGCATCACTGATGGGCACTGAAAGGCAGCACTGATATATGGTACTGATAGGTGGCACTGACTGGCACTGATAGGCGGCACTAACTGGCACTGATAAGCGGCACTGATGCGCACTGATAGGCGGCACTGATTGGCACTGATGGGTGACACTGAAGGGCAGCTAAGATGGGCACTGATATGTGTGGCATTGATGTGCACTGGTAGGCACTGATATGTGGCATTGATGTGGCACTGGCACTGTTCAGCACTGACAGCTGGCACTGATGGACACTGACAGGTGGCACTTCTGGGGCCACACTGATCATCAGTGCCCTGATGATCTGTGTACATGTCCCCTCCGTGGAATGCCGATTACCGGCTCTCCTCTCAATAACCGGCATTTCCCTGTTTACATGTGATCAGCTGTGATTGGACACAGCCTGTGACGCCTTATTGCCGCCCAGATCACGAGGAGGTCTGGCGGCCACTTCATTCAGGGTCAGTGGTTTTGCTTTTTATTTCAATTTACCCCATATGTTTGGTCATCTGCCAGCATTATTACTGATATACCCTGCACTAAGTCTATTACCAATAAAGTTCTTTTTTGACATACTACACTATGGGTACTCTCCCACTCTTTGCCCCTTATTGAGGGGTCAGCAGACACAGCTTCCAACTTCATCCAGAGGAGGGAAGCCTTCACCTGGAGTCTTTATCCGGCCGATCCATCCCGATCCTTGGGAGGTTCTGTGAGCCCAGCTGACCATCGCTTGATAACACCCCTTCCTGAGGGAGATCGATACTCTGTGGAATTTAATATACACATGCGCATTTCCTATGCGCGGTTGGTGAGTGCGCATTTCTGCCATTTGTTCCGGATTTCTCATAAGCTGTGTCCAATCTACTATATCGTTGATTAAATGAACTTTTGATAACCAATTTCAGAAACGAACTATTTAGATCGAACTTTCTAGATCAGAATTTTCTAGATCGAATTTTCTGCTTGTTATTTTTAGCGCTGCACTATATTTATCTACTTTTACTTGAGGCTGTTGTGATCTCCTTTTAGTGCTTTTAGCTGCTTATTTTTACCGTTATACAAGAAGCGCTCACTACATCTTTTACATTTGTGATTGGACACAGCTGATCACAAGACTGAGCCGACATCTTCGGCTCTTTCCGTGGATCGGTGATCCGCTGTGTCCGAGGGACACAGAGCTCCGCCGATTGCCGTTGGCCGATATGAAAAAAAAGCACTGATACAGGTGCCAAAATAACCCCACCCCCCTCGCCACAGCCAGCCGCTGCCATCACTGGGCGCCGCTCGGTAGTTTTCCTTACCTGAGAAACCACCAAACGATCCTGACGCTGAGCATAGTGATTAGTGAAGGAAAGATGGCCTCCACTATAAGCCCTTGGAGGACTGGAGCGATGTACTTCTGTTGCCTTGTAAACAATACCATTTTTTTTTCTTTTGAAAGCACTAGATCAATGCTTTTTTTGATCTAATACTTTACATTGTAGGAGAGATGTGGGGTCTTATTGACCCCATATCTCTCCATAAAGAGGACCTGTCACTGATTATTTCTATCACAAGGGATGAACGCATTCCTTGTGATAGGAATAAAAGTGATTAAATTTCTTTTTAAAGGGACAGTGTAAAAAAAAATACAAGTTTAAAGTGCCCCCCGTCCCCCCATGCTCGCATGAAGTGGTGAACACATACGTAGGCCATGCCCACATATGTACAGTGTTCAAACCACACATGTGAGGTATCGCCACGAACGTCAGAGCAAGAGCAATAATTCTCACACTAGAACTCCTCTGTAACTTTATACTGCTAACCTGTGGAAATTTTTAAAGCATCACCCATGGAGATTTTTAAGTAACATTCGACGAGCGTTCGCAATTTTAAAGCATGACATGTTGGTTATTTATTTACTTGCCGTAACATCCTCTTTCATATTTTACCAAAAAATTGGGGTATATATTTAATTAGAATATTAAATTTTTTAATTAATATTTCATTTTTAAAAACTGCCCATTTCGGTTTCGATTTTTGGCCAAGTGCATCCTGAATTTTCGGTTTCGGCACCAGAATTTTCATTTTGGTGCACCACTAGCTATGATATGCACTGTGTAATACTTAATAAATAATACACCTTATTTAACCCCTTGCTGCTGCATATATGTACACATATATGCAGCCTCACTGAAGTGGGTCTTCTTCCGTGAGGCCGTATGTATAAATATATTTGTGCTGGAAGCACATCGCGCTCCTAACACAGGAAACAGGCTCTTACTGAGAGCCCCAAGTCTGACATAAATGATCTGGAACCAGAAACTGGTTCCTGATCACCTGCTCATTGTGACTGCTGACCTTTGGGGAGGTGGGGAGCGGGTACCTGAATTTGACAGGTACCCGCTCTTACTTCCGCAGAGTTTTTTTTTTATCTTACCTGTTCCTCGATCCAGCCGCGCGCTGTCTTCCCGGCTTCTGTAATGGCGCTCGGCATGACAGCCGGGTGCCCAGTGCGCATGAGCGAGAAGCACTTGCGCTTTGTGATTGGTCCGGCGGCTTCTGGGATCTGTCATGTGTCCCAGGTACCGCCTTACCATTCACAAAAAGCACCGCTTCTTGTGCATGCGCACTTGGCACCCGGCTGTCATGCCCAGCGCCCACACTACAGAAGCCGGGAAGACAGCACGCCGCTGGATAGAGGAACAGGTAAGGTCCCGCTGCAGAGCTGAGCGGCCGGCCCGGTATTCTGACACGGCCGCGGTGGAAATACCGGACCGGCCGCTCCATATTCGCCTTATAAGACGCACTGACATTTCCCCCCCAGTTTTGGGGAAGAAAAAGTGCGCGTCTTATACGGCGAAAAATACGGTAATCAATATATCTGAAAATCAATTAATTCCGAGTCCTGAAAATGCCAGGACAGTCCAAATATCCTCCAATGACCCCTTTTTGGAAAGTAGACAGTCTGAGGTATTTAATGAGCGGCATGGCGAGTTTTTGAAGCCATTTTTTTTTTGTCACAATTTTTTGGATTCAAATAAATTGTTTTTTTTTCACTTTTTTTTTAACATACTGTCAACAGTGTAGTACAGCGTCATAGTATAACTGGTGTGGCGTTGATCGAGGCTACTGACTAGTAACAGTAAGTAAAAAAAAACAAAAATGTTTACATAATTTTTTTAAATATTTATTTAAACTTTTTATGATATATATATACTGTGACCAGAACAATACAGTGTTACCATAGTGTTGGAAGGCAACATGTTTTTATATCAGACGTTATGGATTCTTACTGCCTGGTTAACAAAGATGGCCTGTTGGATATTACCTTGGAATGTCAGTAACACAAGAATTTACAACAGGGTGTGTGTAACAAAAGATTGCATATCAAAATCCTGGTCTTGGGAGATCACACATACCCCCCCCCCCCCTAGTGGTGGGGCATGGAGATAAGAAAGCCTCAACCCAGATTCCCTGGTGATGCAAAAAATATAATAACTGATTGCATTCCTTCTAGCAAGAAGGAAGAAACCAGATGTGGACTGGAATGTTGATCATTTTTGGCAATATAGCAGAGCCCCAGGGTGGAGACAACAACATACTTCCTGGAGGATTCAGGGTAGCACATTACTTCCTGCTCATTAGAATTGACAGCTCCTTATAATTTATGGATTGTCATTCATTGGACGGTGGACTACACAGGGAGGGTCAAGTGTGTTCATGTGGGTTGTGTCTGTGAGTGTTTTAAATTCAAGGTCTGGCCCTGCCTGTGTTCTATTTCTACCCAGAGCCCAGCCAGATACTGAAACACTTAGGACGGACTTACGTAACATTATCTCTGCTCTGCTTTTTTCTTTATGCTCTATAATAATCATTTAGATTGTAGAATTGTATTTTCTTTGTAAATAAATAAGACTTTACTTCTTTCAACATGTGTTTATTATTACAGTAAATATTGTAATATATTAGTACCATCAGTATTGTCAGAGGTTAGATATGCTATTATAGGGACCGACAAGATAGTACATATTTTATTATATGTAGGGGGGAAATCCAAAAACCACCCCGTATTCATTTCACATAGTAACACTGTTCTACTCTGGGGAAGTGATCAAGATTTTTTTTTTCTTTACACACTATGATTGCTTATAACGGTGATACTCACTGTTAGAAATGATAATTTTTTTCTAAATGAAATCTATTCATTCAGTGTGTACTATGGTGATTAGCTGTGGTTGGCACAAACTAATCACATGGTACAGATGGGTTGCGAAAGCCCCTGTATGTACAATATAATCATCGTGGCCAATCATAGAAAACAACACAATAGTACACAATGAATGGCATGAATGAACACCATCCATTGTGTACAACTGTCATGTGATCTGCTATGATTGGTCTCATTGATCACATGGTACAGGCAGCGGCCCAGTACACTGATCTGTTGACAGATCGTGCCGCAGCACAGCCCATTGGGCCTGCGTGAGGAGTGTTCTGAGAGGATATCATATGACGTCCACCCAGATTTAAAGCAGTCCTGCCCAACTGTCATTTGACTATAGGCTGGGCGGGAACTTGTTAAACAAAATGGAAAGCTCACATACACATCAGTAGCCCATGCAGGGCTTCTTCCACATCAACATGTATAGTCAACTGAACATGACAAGTCACCTGGCTCCCTTGTCAGCAGCACCACTGCTCTTCTTACCAGTCCCTCTGACTGTATTCTCTCGGCTCACTCAGCCTTTATTTGCATGGCCTTGCTGCACAGCCCACTCCTGGACTCTGGGTAGGGGTTCTGCCGACACCCCGATAGGAGCCAACCTAACTTCTGGCTGCGGCACCTCTGCCTCCAGGTTGAGACCTCCTGTCTCTTGACTCCTGACCAGGACACCTCTGATCCCTGGCAGAGACATCCTCTGTGGAGCCCTGTCTCCAAAATAGGGGCCCTGAGCTATCTTCAAGCTTAGCGTATAAACTGCACACCTGTGTTCCTTCCTACCCAAGACACTTTGAAACCTTCAAACTCAAGGCCCCAATCCGAGTCTACAGAATTTAGAGAAAGACAAAAACACAGCTTTCTCCACTGAGAAATTATACTCTGAAACTTTGCTATAAACCTTAATGCAAATCCTGTGTAATTTTTTCCTACATTTCCACAGTGGCAGGGCCCCGCACTTTTTCGCAATATATATCAAACTAATGAAGAAAAGGTCCAGGGCTTCGTAGAATAAAAATAAATGGATCTGTGCTGTATAAATCTTATATCTTGTGAAAGTAACATATTACAATGTGGAGGTTCAAGTACTTTTTTTTGTTGTTTAGGAACATTGATGGGAGCTCGGATTCCTCTTTAAATAGATGAGGAAATAATACATTAATGCACTTAATCTATTCTTCCTGTAAGTAAAGTGCTCATTATGATGCAAGTCAGCTAATGGATAACAGGAG